CCCAGATTTGCTTTCCAGTTAAAAACACAATAATTGGGCCAGGAGCAGTGGCTCACGCCAGTAATCCCAGCACTTTGGGAGGCCGAGGCTGGCGGATCATCTGAGATCAGGAGTTCAAGACCGGCCTAACCAACATGATGAAACCTTGTCTCTACTAAAAAGACAAAAATTTAGCCAGGCATAGTGGGGCATGCCTGTAATCCCAGCTGCTCAGGATGCTGAGACAGGAGAATCGCTTGAACTCTGGAGGGCAGAGGTTGCAGTGAACCAAGATTGCGCTGTTGCACTCCAGCCTGGGCAACAAGAGCGAAACTCTGTCTCAAAAACAAAAAACAAAACCGCAATAACTGACAAATGATCTAGCTGCCAAGAATTTGAAGGTGGCTCTGTTAGGTAAGATTAAAAGCACCTTTATTTAAAGACTATTTACATATGTCAGGAGGCTGTTTGGCTATTGTAGTTCAAGTTTGGGTGCTCAGCTTTGTTTGCTTAGAAACTCAGTTTTGTCACACTGTAGCACTAGATAAATATGCTAACCCAGCTCATGAAAGCCTAATATGGAAACAATTAATAAATGACCAAACTTCAGTGAGAAACTGAATACCAGCCACTGCTCTGCTAGGGAACTGCCCCGCTAGGGAACAAATCACCATTTGGACTTTTTTTTTTTCCCTGAGTTTAGAATCAGAAGAAAAGAAGTGTTGTTGGCAGGTTCTGCAAGAACATCAAGAACCACAGCACTTAGGCACTGTGTTCCTACCTTTACACACAGGATTCCAGCCCTCATGGCAGCCCCTGGAGGGAGCTGTGATTGTTCCAATTTTGTGTATAAGGAAACTGATGCTTGAGTGAGGGAATAAGTGAAGAAACCTTCCAATCCCATTCCTTCAGAGCCCTTGCATTTAATTACTCAGTCCATTTTGTTAACCACCTCATGTGACTTTATGATTTTACTAAGGGAGGTCCTGGAAAATCCTAGGAGTGCCTCCAAGGTGCTGTCAGGGAGACTAGCAAAGCCGAATGGTGTGATCAGATTTGCTATGGAAAGGGGATTCTTCCGCACAGAAAAACCCGCACACAGATGTTTATAGCAGCTTTATTCATGGTTGCCAAAACTTCAAAGCAACCAAGTTTTCCTTCAGTAAGTGAATGACTAAATAAGCTATTCCATACAATGGAATATTATTCAGTGCTAAAGGAAATGAACTTTGAAAAGATATGGAGGAAACTTAAATGCATATTACGAAGTAAAAGAGGCTAGTCTGGAAAGTCTACATACTGTATGACATTCTGGAAAAGGCAAAACTATGGCGAGGGCAAGAAGATCAGTGGTTTCCTGGGGTTGGGAGCTGGGAAAAGGAAGAAGGAAAGAATTGGTGAAAGAGGATTTTTAAGGCAGTAAGACTGCTCTGTATGATACTGTAATGGTAGATACTTTTGCCCAAACCCATAGAAAGGATAACACCGAGAGTGAACCCTAAACTGTGGACTTTGGGTGATGATGATGTGTCAGTGTAGGCTCATCACAAATGCACCACTCTGGTAGGAGATGTTGATAATGGCAGGAGGCTATTTATATGTAGAGGCAGGGGGTATATGGGAAATCTCTGTACTACAGCTCAATTTTGCTATGAATTTAAATTGCTCTAAACAATGTCTGTTAACAAAAAGAATGTCTTAATATTTCAGTATTTGAAATCACATAGTATGTTGCATTTGCTACCCCTAAATGCATGTATATATGTTTATATGTGTGCATATATCTGTGTACATATACACATATGTACATAAATATGTTTCTGTTTATGTATATTACGGGTGGAATATGTTAGCACAATATGTGATGTATATGTCACATGTGAGTTTACATATGGATGTATGTGTATATTTATATATGTGTGTGTGTGTCTGTTTTGAGCATTCAGTATATACTAGGCTCAGTACCTGAGACTTTACTCATGTCAACCACCCAACACTCCCACGAGGTTATCTTCCCCATTGGACCTTTAAGGAAGAGGAGAAGGTGAGTATCAAGGCTGAGGTCCACTCACATTGAGTCCCACTGCTTGGATGCATCTGTATCTAGAATTCCTGATAACCCCCTTATGACTGTCTGATGCACCTGTATCTTTATCTTCAAATCCTGGAGGAACCCTCCTTTCCACTGTTGCTTCTTAGCAGTGTGTAAAAGGACCGTAGAGCCCAGTGCTCCTGCCAGAGAAGATATGACCAGGTCTTGGGCCCTGGTGGGATTGCTTCACTTGTGGGAAGCTGGTTTAGTAGGTACCTTTAGTGTTCTGGTGGGAAAAGCTTGAATCCAAGTGAAGCAGTGACAGGGACATCAGACTTGATAGACTTTTGTGAGGAGAAAACAGCTTCCTTTTTTTTTTTCAATATAAATATTTGTATTTTTATATGAATACAATATATAAAAATACATTAAAATAGATAAAACTATTTATATTTATACACATGAATGAATAGATGAAAATAAATAAATAAAAAATAAAATAACATAAGCAAATAGGCCAGGCACGGTGGCTGACGCCTGTGATCCCAGCACTTTCAGAGGCTGGGGGAGAGAGAGAGAGAAAACGAATGAAAGAAAGAGAGAAAGAGAGAAAGAAAGAAAAAAGAAAGAAAGAAAGAAAGAAAGAAAAGAAAGGAAAGAAAGGAAAGAAAGAAAGAAAGAGAAAACAGCTTCCTAGGCTTTCTGTGGGATTGATGATAACCCTAGCCTGGCCTCTATAATTTTTGTGTTTTTCTAGATGCTGATTAGTTTTCCTGTGCATAATTCTCCAAAATAGCATTTGGACCTCTAGGGATATTCTTACTCTTCTTTTCAACTCTGGAATTTTGGAGAAATAATAGGTTTCAATCTTTGAGTAAATCAAGAAAAGGTAGTAAGAAATATCATTGCCCACCCTGATGTTTAGTTCCTGTTGCTCAGACCAAGTTATTCCTGGATCGCAAAAACTGACCCAGGAGGCATCATCTCATGGCTTTCTTGAAATGGCTCTTCTGCATTCGGTGGCACCAGTCCCTCAGTGGAAATCTATAAACAAGTTTGTGTTAAGAATAGGTTGGAAGGATTGCTTGTCCTTTCTTGTGAAGAATGAAAGAATGAATTAGAGCATCCCCTGTACCTTCTAAGTTAGCAAACACATCTAAACAGGGTGTAAGATTTAACTAATGACAGACACGTCTAAATGGAGCTTAAGGGGCTGAGTTAACAAGAACAGAAAGCTAACTTGTTTTGTAGTAAAGAGCTAAAATAGGAAAGACTAATAGGCTATGTTGATCTCTATTTAAACAAGCCATTTTACTAATTTCTGATTGCGTATGAAAGCCTCAAGCCGTTTTGAAAAGAAATAGCTATTTGCTGGTGGTAATTTCTTACTCTTCCCACGTGTAAATTTAGAAAACTTTGGAGTTTTATTTTGCTTTCCCAAAGTAGCGTCTGAGTAACGAATAAAAAGCCTCTTTTGTTTTTGTTTTTGTTTTTTTTAGTTCAAGGTGAAAAAAGAATCAGAAGAAGAAAGTGAGAAAATCCATCCCCACCACCATATTTCAACTTCTTTTATTTTCTACTGAGAGAAAATTCATTATCTGATCTTTGATTTCATTTATTTCAGTGCCTGCGCTGTGCACTTAGTGGAGCTGGCTTCTACCAAGATTATATTCTGACAGGGTGATGGGGGCCGGGCTGTGCATGAGCATTTGCTTTGCAAGGAGAAAATGTGTTTCTCCCTCCCTTTCATTTCACTCCTAAACCCAGTGGTGGAAGAGGAATTTGCTGTTCTCAGTTGATCTCTGTCTGTCAGGGCCTCTCCTTCCTATGGCCGCACCCTCTGTGAATGAGGAAAAGGGGGAGCACAAGTGTTTGACCTGTCAGAGCCAGTTCCCTGATTATCCACGCCAAATGTTTTCCATTAGAGAAGGAACTTGGCGGTACAGGAGGTTATGCAGACTGGCCATTCTGGAAGTGGCTGTCTCAGAGTGTGGCTGTGGCTGTGGGGCGGCAGGTGTGAGGGGATTCTGAGGAATCTCTCTCCAAAAGCCGATCAGGATATCGTGGTAGCAAAGTGTGTTTTAGAATTTATTTGTAATAACCAAAAGCCTACATTCTACCTTAGCCCATTATAACGGAGGCGGGGACTTGATCGAAAACGCATTCTTCCCCAACTTTCTAACCCGGGAGCACTTAGTTACTATTGCTCACTGAACGTGGCTCATCGGGATGCCTCATGGAAAAGGACTAGAGCAGAAAGCTGACTCCAGGTGCTGCTGCACAGAGAGGAGGAGTTGCCTTCCAAACACTCACACCTGGATCCATAAAACTCATTTTACTTACCACTGCGAGACCCTTGGAAGTTAAACAGACATATGCCTGGATCGTTAGAGTGACCGATTTCCCGTTTCTAAGCAGATTTTTGCAATGGGTCTTCTTCCTTACAGGCAGCTCTGCCATGTGCATGATCAGGCTTCTAGACCAGACAAATGTGGGATTGTATTCTTTCATTCTGTTCTGTTCTTTCCTTTCCCTTTCTTTTTTCTTTTCTTTCTCTTTGTCTCTTCTTTTCTTTCTTATTTTTATGCAACACCACGATAGTAAGAGGTAAGTTTTAAATGGTGACATTAATATTTGGGTCAATTGGAAAACACAATTGTAGCAACCACTTGAAGCCCAGTTGCCTGTTATTTAGAATTTCTTCTCATGGAAGAAGCCATATGCTGATCTTTATTTTACTGTTTTGGAGTGCAATGAAGTTTCTCAGAGCTCAGTTTATTTTCCCAAAGAATTGCATAGCGATGTTCTGTCTGCATTATAGCATGCTGATTTTAAGATAATGGTACTAAATGTATTTGCCTGCATTTTTTTCCACAAGGGTCCTTTGAATTCACTTAAAATCTTACTTATTTTCTTTCACAGACAGCCTCTGCCTGTGGAGATATTTGTCTCATGCATACCCCTTGTGTCTGGTTTTCTTTATACCCAGGACTTCTGCCTTATCTAGTAGCCCTACATATCCGGACCTGCCCTTCATTAGGATCTCCCCACACCGGAACCCCGCTGCTGCTTCTGAGTCTCCCTTCAGCCCTCCACATCCCTACATTAATCCGTACATGGACTATATCCGCTCCTTGCACAGCAGTCCGTCACTCTCCATGATCTCAGCAACCCGTGGGCTGAGCCCTACAGATGGTAAGTCTAGGATGGATTCTGCTTCCGGAGATCACACAGCCTCCTCCCTGCTCTTCACTCGGGATGTGTATAAAGTAGACCTGATGTTTAGTGAGTGCGTCCCATGTGCCAGGCGCTGTACTCTGTGCCTCACATGCATGATTGCGTTTCAGTGTTGTAATACCTCATTGGCAGTGGTGTTGTTATCTATATTTTCAGGTCAGAATAGCAGTGTGCAGTGGGGTTTACTTGCAACGCAGTCATCCCGTGGCTAGTAAGGGGCAGAGGTGGAATTCAACCCTAAATTTTTCTGATTCCCAAATCCCTGCTGGTAACTAGGGTTCTGTTCTGCTGCTTCACATATGATTAGACTGGTCCTGTAGCCATTCACACACATGCATGTGTAACATGAATGTTTTACTCACCTTCCGATGAACACCTTTCTGTTCTCTGTGTCTGAGAGGCATATTTGTACAGATGTGTCTGTTAGAGCAGGGCTTCCCAAACTCTAATGTGCCTATGAATCACCTGGGGAGCCTGATAAAAGGCGATTCTGCATCAGGTGGGGACAGGTGGGGCCTGAGATTCTGTGCTCCTCAAAACCTGGTGATGTCAGTGCTGCTGGTTCCTGGTCCACACTCAGAGTGGCAAGGTCTTAGAAAACAGCATGGTCCAGGGCTGTTGCCTATGCTTTCTGTCCTTGATTATGCCACATGAAAACTGCTTTCTATCCTTGACCATGCCATATGAAAACTGCTTTCTATCGTTGACCATGCCATGTGAAAACCAGAAGAAAAGTGTACTGGGAAAGAAAACGAGCTTAGACTTTATCGTGCTTTTGATTCTCATTTTAGGCTCTCAAGGATCAAATTCCTGTTGGTTCTATTAGTCCCCCCATTACTTTTCACATGACCCTTCTTAATTGGAGCTGTGTATTCTCCTGGTGTCAACTTGTAAACTGGTCCTTTGATTCAGGAAAAGTATTTTCCATTTCATGCACACATAGAAATTCACATGCCCAGTAATCACTGGAATCGGAATGAAGGTCCAGAATTGCATCACCTATTAATTACAGGTAGCAGGCACTGAATTCTTTGCAAGAGATCACAAGTCACCACTGCCTGTTCCACATCAGAGAAACATTCATTTCACTGAGCAGTGCTTGATGTGACTTCCATGCCCTATGCACGTTCTCTAGGTAGACTCCTTCCTGAGGCTGGGTGGGCATGGTGAGAAGCTGCATGAAGGGTCTCAGGAAACATCCACTCACTTGGGTTTTCAGAAATAGCTTTCCTTCAGCAACAGCCACTTTTTTTTTTTGATTCAGTGCAGTGAATTTACTAGTTAATAATAGTAATATAAGTAGCTAAAGAATAAGTTTTGCACTTTGGGCAGGATTGACATTTTATTTTACTTTGAGAAAGAGTCTCACTTTGTTCCCCAGGCTGGACTGCCTTGGTGCAATCTCAGCTCATTGTACCCCGGACCTCCTGGGTTCAAGTCATCTTCCTGCCTCAGTCCCTTAAGTAACTGGGACCACTGGTGCACACCACCATGCCTAGCTAATTTTTATAATTTTTGTAGAGATAGCGTTTCGCCACGTTGCCCATGCTGGTCTCAAACTCCTGAGCTCAAGCGATCCACCCGCCTCTACCTCCCAATGTGCTAGGATTACAGGCATGAGCCACTGTGCCTGACCAAGATTCACATTTTAAAAATAAAAATCAAATATGAATTAGATTTTCTGCTTCAGATTTTATTTTGCACTTGAAGAACTGGAGAGTCATCTCCTTCAGGTACTTGGCAGTTGGGTGGAAATGACTAAGAAGAAGAATAGACTGAGAGAGAGAGGGAGGCTAGCTGACAATGGACTTGGAATTATGCCTGGCCTGCAGAACTTTATTCGGGCCAGTGGAAAGTTATACCATTAGTTAAACTACTGAAAGTACTCCTGTCATCTGCTTTGTGTAGCATTTGATGATGAGTATATATAGCACATTCTTTGACTGGTTGATTTGCCTTCCTTTCCTTGCCTCTCAAGAATCCAGTTAATATAATCAAATAAAGTAATATGACGAATATTTCTCTTGTGGCCTAAAGTTTTTTTCCTTAAAACTAGATCTTTACCATGTATCATGGATAAAAAGTATGTGAAACAAATATAAAATACCCACAAACCTATCACTAGAGCGCTTGTATTTCTAGATAATAATTGTAAAACTTTTACTGATTGAATGCTATGTGCTAAGCATGTTACATACATAATTTAATTTTTGCTTCTGACGACCTCATGGAGCCAGTTTAAATCCAGATCTCTGTGAGTCTGGAGGCCACCCTCAGAACTGCTACAATGTCTTGCTGCTTTTGCATGAAAATTGGCAGGTGGAAACCGGTTATTATCCTGTTAGAAAGCTGAGTCTTGGCAGGAAATTGCTCCAGATTGATAGGTATATTTTCTTTTTGATTTTGTAATGAAGAAAAGGAAAAGAGCGCTTTTAAATTATGGAATGCAAAATTGTAGCTTATCATTCAGTTGTGTTATTAAAGCTGTGCTGCCTTTTTTCATACTGGTAAACCCTGACTTTTCATGTGAGTGAGAGTTAACTCAGACACTCTTGTCAGAAAGCTTAGAGAAGTATTTTAAGTATGTCTGGAAAGATATCATAGTCCTCTAAGTTGTCCACTATTGTAAGAAATGCAAACATACAGCGATTTGATGTAAAAATGATTTTATTTGGGGAGGCGAATGTGGTTATGTACATATATACATTTTAGTCATTCTGATTTGTTGGTAATTTCTTAGACCAACATCAAAAACTTTGTAATGCATTTCACTTTTTTCTATTCCTTTCCTTCAGTTTTATTTTCAAATAAAAGATGTTTAATGGACGTAAGAGCACAATTTGAGTTAAAGGAGCTTTACTCTAATAAGCCATGAAAGGAATTGCTGATGTGGGTTGTGTGATGGACTCTGAGATGCCTCAAGAGAAACTTCTAGTTGACCTTCTTTCACTAGTAACCGTACATTTCTTGTCTCCTCCTAGCTCCCCATGCAGGAGTCAGCCCAGCAGAATACTATCATCAGATGGCCCTGCTAACCGGCCAGCGCAGCCCCTATGCAGACATTATTCCCTCAGCTGCCACCGCCGGCACGGGGGCCATCCACATGGAATATCTTCATGCTATGGATAGTAAGTGACGGGGCTGTTTTCTAGAGTCTTGGGAAATGACAAAGGCTACTTTATGAAACAGAGAGGAAGATACAAAGATTAGGTGATAGTGTAACTTTTTGATCTGGAGGAGAAAGTGGAACTATCACTGTCTGGTGCTCTGGTTCCCTTGGTTTTCTAGAAGCTTCCACAGATTTGGACATCCTGGGACTCCCTGTTTAGCTCAAGGATACCAGTGAACTGGCAGATGCAGGCAATTGTAATTGACAGCGATATATAAATATTAACTGGTTAAAAAATCCCAGCCCAGGTGACATAGTGAGATCTATCTCTACAAAAAATTAAAAATTAGTTGGGTGTAGTGGCATGCACCTGTAGTCCCCGCTACTCAGGAGGCTGAGGCTGAAGGATCACTTGAGCCCAAGAGGTCAGTGCTGCAGTGAACCTTGGTCACACCACTGCACTCCAGCCTGGGTGACAGAGTGAGACCCTGTCTCCCCCAACCAAAAAACTTTTTCCTGCCGTGATTCTCTTGATAACAAAATAAGGGGGAATGGATTTGATATATGGATGAACTTTGCCCACTCACGCCTTGGTTTCGTGGATTTTATGCTTTAAAAAATTAATTTTAAAAAATACCTGTTTTGATTTTACATTTTTGCCTTAATTGATTTAGTTTGCCCCATATGTTTTCTTTACAGTAAAAAAATTATATTCCACTAAAACCATTTGTAGCTGCTAAATATGAGAGGATCACAATAGTTATCAAGTTATCAGTAGTTGCCAAATAGCTTATTTGGAAAAAATGAAAACTTTTTCCAAATCAGAAGGGACTACTTTTAGTGCCTAGCAGTGGAATAAGATGAGATTACTTGATGCATGTTGTATCACTTATTTTGGGGTTCCTTAGGTGTGTAATGATTTTTGTGGATCACTTATGTAGATACATAGACAAGTAAGCCTATAATTACCTCTTGTCAGAGCATTCCAGAGCACTCATCTCTTCAGATCCTTTAAGGACACATCCGTTTGCAAGGCGTTCTGAAGCGAACCTAAAGCATCATCCAAGTCATACATCAGCAAAAGCCACTACCTTTGAATAGGACAACAGTACGACCTTGAGTAGGGCATTTGCTTAGAGTTTTGTTTGTTTTTCCTAGTAGCAGCAATTAACTTATGTTTTTCTATCTACAATCTATTTGGATTCTTCTGTGACAGAGGGTGAGCATATGTCAGCTCTAGTTATTCAGTCCTGAGTCTTGGACTAGAAAGAAGGTGATTGTTTCATACAGAGGTAAAACCTCTACAGCCTTAGTCTGCTTACCACCAAGGACTACATTTGTGTGTTTCATTGGAACACAAGATTCTGTTGGTTTCCACTGGGAAGCTCATTACCACACGGGAAGTAAAAGAAATGTGTTACATCTTCTTCAGGGGTTCTGTTGTTTGGCTTTGCAGCATAGAGAGCTTACATTTCAGATTCATCATAACCACATTTCAATTAGCGATTGTTGAAAAAAAAAGTTGTGTTATTATGCAAATCAGTTATTTAAAATCTGCAAATAAAGAATTAAAATAAGAGAGAATCCTTGGAAGGTCAGCCTGCATTACTTTCCCTATTTGATGAGAATGTGTTTAGTCAGGCAGTGGCGGTTTTTATCTAAATAAAGGATGAAGCTACCCTTTTACTTTGTAAAAACTAATTAAAGGAATTTTAATTTGCCTGAGTATATGGTAAATTGATTGTCATTAAGTAGGAATTTAGATGTCCTATCATTCATCACATAAAAACAAACCTCCTTTTTCTTTGTCAGAATTTCTTATTAGAATAGAGAAACAAAACAATTAACAGAAAGGCAGATTGGAGATATCTGTGTTAGAACAATAAGAATGCTCTGGCTTATATTTAAGAAGAAAGTGGTGTGATCAGTGAAGAACTGGGCTACTTCTCTTTTGGCTGTTTTGAAAATGCTTACCTTGTATTTTAGCAACTCCCCTCAACAGAGTATCCCAAATCACTGTCCCCAAATACTGACTTTCTCTTCCTTTGCTTGTTGATTAAGGAGTTGGGAAGAGCATATTAAAGGCCTGGAAAGTTCTTAAGGCGCTATATTCTTTTCCTCTAAAGTAATTGAAGTAGCATTTGTTAATAGTTATTTATTTAGAATATAAGAAGATTGCCCAGAAATTTCGACCATAGGATATTTTTTTCCAACAAGGAAGTGAAACATTAATCCTAAATTCTTACAGTGGATGTCCATCTGCAGTGGTAGATCGAAACCTGGGATCTATCTGGTCACTCTGATCCCTTGCTACGGATATTTAGTACTTCTTAATAAACACAGCCCTCAATAAACTGGGTTCAGGTGAGCATGTGACTTTTAAATAGTGGGCATATCTAGGTTTCAGCAAGATGTCAGACAGAGTGTTTATATGTAGCTTGTTAGGATAAGCTAGTCTGTTTGTTTATGGTCCCAATTCTACCTCTCAGGGTTGGAGTGACCTTAGAAGATGAGAACAAATACTCCCTATAAGGAACATTCTAGAGATGAGGGTCCCTGAAGACTATTATTTATATTGGTGGAAATAGACTTAAATAAGAGCCAGTCTTGGAGGGAAAAACAGAGAGAGGAAAGGTTCCAGCCAGGCTGTGAACAAGCCAAAGGGTTTCATGGAAAGGGTGGAAAGGTCTTGAGAGGCCCCTCATCTTTTTTGGAGGATGCGAGGGAGATCTAAGGCTCCTGGGATTTCAGAGCATCAAATGGGCTTCTTCCTTTTGCATCACAATTAGTGATCTAAAGCATTAGAGATTTTCTAGGGATATATCCACTCTAACAGGATGTCTAGCATGTGCTGTCACTTCTAACTTTGCCAGTGATCACTGAGTACCATTGAGAAGGGCAGTTATTGTCCAGGATTATATGGAAGTTGACAACAAATCTGGTTTGTCCTTGGAGTTACTTGGAAGTGACATGTATTTCCTCACTGACAAACTTCCATGATGAAATTAGCCTTTCATGGTGAGTAAATGTGAAGGAGTTGTGTTTAATAAGGCAGATGCCATTATAAAAGTAAGATGCTGATTTAAATGCCTGAAAGTATTCACAGGCCGGGCGCATTGGCTCACCCCTGTAATCCCAGCACTTTGGGAGGCCGAGACGGCTGGATCACGAGGTCAAGAGATTGAGACCTCATGATCCGCCCGTCTTTCACCATGGCCAACATGGTGAAACCCCATCTCTACTAAAAATAAAACCCTGTAGTCCCAGCTACCCGGGAGGGTAAGGCAGAAGAATCAGTTGAACTCGGGAGGCAGAGTTGCAGTGAGCCAAGATTGTGCCACTGCACTCTAGTCTGGCAACAGAGTGAAACTCAGTCTCAAAAAAAAAAAAAAAAAAAAAGTACATCGTTGGGATTGCTGTTTTGTACTAACATGCTCTGAAATAGGCTGGTAATGAAACTACTGTAAATGAAGGAACTCATTTTAGATGTGCCTGAAAGAAAAATTTGAGTAGGTACCACATTTATCATTCAAGTTGGTTTTTAAGTTTTATACGTGGATGGCACTAACTTACTAAATTTCAGTTTGTGGATTTTTTTCCATTATTTATGTAGTATTGGCAATAAAGTCTTTCATATTCATCTATCCCATTTTATTAAATTATCTCTAAGCGTGTTGGATTGTTATCTTGTATCAAGAACCATCTCTATTGAATAAAATATTCCCAAAGAATTTTCTGGAGACCAAGAGCCTGGACATTTTTTTTTTCTTTTAATAAAGAAAGATTACCTACTACTTCAGTTTTTCTTGGTACCGCAAAATTGCCATGTTCCTATAAACTGATATACTCATTCTATGAGGTCTTAGAAACCCTTCATTTTACTTAAAACGAATCATGTTTTGTTTGCCTCCTACCTGGTAAGATCATGTTCTCATTCTTTCATTAAACTTTAGTTTGGTGACTCTGTAATGTAAATGTGACCTTCAAAAAGGCAGAATGGACCTGTGGGCCACATTCATCTCTGTGTCTTGAAACTCACATCTCGAATGTCTACCAAATTTGAATGCAAATTGGCATTTAATTTTGAACTCTTTAGGAAGAAGCCATTGCATTAAGTTGGTGTGCATTTAAGTTTGAGTTACTCACCTCCAGATTTGGACTCCAGATTAAGACTCCATCAGTGGAATCTTCTTGAAGGTTAAAAATTCTAATGAATGTATCACTCTTTATTGGATCTGACTGGAGAAGCAAGATCCAGAGAAGAATTGAAATGCCCTATAGGATCATTGTATCTCATTATCATGCTTGCAAGTGTTTCTCCTCCGCCTTGGAAAATCTGTAAACAAGCAACATCCCCAGCTTTTAAATGTTTCTTGGTATTTATCTTCTTAGATTATGGGGAATGTAAGGCAGAGGTCCTCAATCTCAGCGATATTTGGGCCAGATAATTCTTCATTGTGGGGAGAGTGACCCTGAACATTATAGGATGTTCTGCAGCATCCCTAGACTCTACCCTCTAGATTCCAGTAGCACCTGCTGAGCCCTGAAAACCAGAATGTCTTCTGATGTTGTCAGGTGTCCCTTGGGGGGGCAAAATTGCTCTCAACTGAGAAGCACTGATTCAGGGTAATTATGTAGAAGTTGTTTTAGTAATGCTTTAAGTATACCATAGAGCAGGTAACTCTAGAAATCACTGGGCGCTGAGGGCATAACTGAGCTGAATTTTTTATCTTAGGATACTTTAATTCATTTTCTTTCTTTGGCTCATGACTTAAAATGGTGTGTGTTGGGGTGGGAAGGGTGGTATGTTGCAACTGTGGGAACCACTGTGTTTGTCGCTTGTGGTGAATTAATGATGGGAATATCTAAGCAGCCGTCAGATTCATAAATCACTAGAAATGAAAGGGATAACACATAAAAGTCTCTCCCTTTTGTTTAGCAATTTATCATTTTCCCTGCACATTAATAAACAGAGCTCCCCCGAGGTAAGCCCCTGGAAGATAAATATTTCTCCCTAATTTCCTCAATTGTAGCTAGTAGATCACATGGGGGAGGAGAGGTGCTTGTCACCACAAGTTGCCAGCTTCTTATCCTTCACTTCTTCCACATAGGAGAGTAGCAATAAATAACCGGTATAGAGTCCAACTGCAGCTAATTAGGTTCTTTTTTGTTTATATAACAGGCACCAGATTCCCCAGCCCCAGGCTGTCAGCCAGGCCGAGCCGAAAACGTACACTGTCCATATCACCACTGTCCGATCATAGCTTTGACCTTCAGACCATGATAAGGACGTCTCCCAACTCTTTGGTCACGATTCTCAATAATTCCCGTAGCAGCTCTTCAGCAAGTGGCTCTTATGGCCACTTATCTGCTAGTGCAATCAGGTATGTATTTTCCTGAATCCATTATGATTTAGTTTGCCCCATATGTTTTCTTTACAGTAAAAAAATTATATTCCACTAAAACCATTTGTAGCTGCTGAATATGAGAGGATCACAATAGTTATCAAGTTATCAGTAGTTGCCAAATAGCTTATTTGGAAAAAATGAAAACTTTTTCCAAATCAGAAGGGACTACTTTTAGTGCCTAGCAGTGGAATAAGATGAGATTACTTGATGCATGTTGTATCACTTATTTTGGGGTTCCTTAGGTGTGTAATGATTTTTGTGGATCACTTATGTAGATACATAGACAAGTAAGCCTATAATTACCTCTTGTCAGAGCATTCCAGAGCACTCATCTCTTCAGATCCTTTAAGGACACATCCGTTTGCAAGGCGTTCTGAAGCGAACCTAAAGCATCATCCAAGTCATACATCAGCAAAAGCCACTACCTTTGAATAGGACAACAGTACGACCTTGAGTAGGGCATTTGCTTAGAGTTTTGTTTGTTTTTCCTAGTAGCAGCAATTAACTTATGTTTTTCTATCTACAATCTATTTGGATTCTTCTGTGACAGAGGGTGAGCATATGTCAGCTCTAGTTATTCAGTCCTGAGTCTTGGACTAGAAAGAAGGTGATTGTTTCATACAGAGGTAAAACCTCTACAGCCTTAGTCTGCTTACCACCAAGGACTACATTTGTGTGTTTCATTGGAACACAAGATTCTGTTGGTTTCCACTGGGAAGCTCATTACCACACGGGAAGTAAAAGAAATGTGTTACATCTTCTTCAGGGGTTCTGTTGTTTGGCTTTGCAGCATAGAGAGCTTACATTTCAGATTCATCATAACCACATTTCAATTAGCGATTGTTGAAAAAAAAAGTTGTGTTATTATGCAAATCAGTTATTTAAAATCTGCAAATAAAGAATTAAAATAAGAGAGAATCCTTGGAAGGTCAGCCTGCATTACTTTCCCTATTTGATGAGAATGTGTTTAGTCAGGCAGTGGCGGTTTTTATCTAAATAAAGGATGAAGCTACCCTTTTACTTTGTAAAAACTAATTAAAGGAATTTTAATTTGCCTGAGTATATGGTAAATTGATTGTCATTAAGTAGGAATTTAGATGTCCTATCATTCATCACATAAAAACAAACCTCCTTTTTCTTTGTCAGAATTTCTTATTAGAATAGAGAAACAAAACAATTAACAGAAAGGCAGATTGGAGATATCTGTGTTAGAACAATAAGAATGCTCTGGCTTATATTTAAGAAGAAAGTGGTGTGATCAGTGAAGAACTGGGCTACTTCTCTTTTGGCTGTTTTGAAAATGCTTACCTTGTATTTTAGCAACTCCCCTCAACAGAGTATCCCAAATCACTGTCCCCAAATACTGACTTTCTCTTCCTTTGCTTGTTGATTAAGGAGTTGGGAAGAGCATATTAAAGGCCTGGAAAGTTCTTAAGGCGCTATATTCTTTTCCTCTAAAGTAATTGAAGTAGCATTTGTTAATAGTTATTTATTTAGAATATAAGAAGATTGCCCAGAAATTTCGACCATAGGATATTTTTTTCCAACAAGGAAGTGAAACATTAATCCTAAATTCTTACAGTGGATGTCCATCTGCAGTGGTAGATCGAAACCTGGGATCTATCTGGTCACTCTGATCCCTTGCTACGGATATTTAGTACTTCTTAATAAACACAGCCCTCAATAAACTGGGTTCAGGTGAGCATGTGACTTTTAAATAGTGGGCATATCTAGGTTTCAGCAAGATGTCAGACAGAGTGTTTATATGTAGCTTGTTAGGATAAGCTAGTCTGTTTGTTTATGGTCCCAATTCTACCTCTCAGGGTTGGAGTGACCTTAGAAGATGAGAACAAATACTCCCTATAAGGAACATTCTAGAGATGAGGGTCCCTGAAGACTATTATTTATATTGGTGGAAATAGACTTAAATAAGAGCCAGTCTTGGAGGGAAAAACAGAGAGAGGAAAGGTTCCAGCCAGGCTGTGAACAAGCCAAAGGGTTTCATGGAAAGGGTGGAAAGGTCTTGAGAGGCCCCTCATCTTTTTTGGAGGATGCGAGGGAGATCTAAGGCTCCTGGGATTTCAGAGCATCAAATGGGCTTCTTCCTTTTGCATCACAATTAGTGATCTAAAGCATTAGAGATTTTCTAGGGATATATCCACTCTAACAGGATGTCTAGCATGTGCTGTCACTTCTAACTTTGCCAGTGATCACTGAGTACCATTGAGAAGGGCAGTTATTGTCCAGGATTATATGGAAGTTGACAACAAATCTGGTTTGTCCTTGGAGTTACTTGGAAGTGACATGTATTTCCTCACTGACAAACTTCCATGATGAAATTAGCCTTTCATGGTGAGTAAATGTGAAGGAGTTGTGTTTAATAAGGCAGATGCCATTATAAAAGTAAGATGCTGATTTAAATGCCTGAAAGTATTCACAGGCCGG